GAGGCTGGATACGACCTTTGCTGGTGTGGTGCGTCCGGGAACGACGTTCCGTCGACATGCAGCCAGCCTATGGCTTTTCTGGTGCCAGCTGGCAAGCTGCAGATCGAAGGTCCTGGTGCCAACCAAGAGATCATTTGTTCCGTTGGGCAACCTTGCTCTCTGAGTATCCGGTCTGTCCATGCGGCTCTTGGAGACCGCATCATGGTCCTTTCTGCTTGTGGTGTGGATTCTCTGGTGCAAGGCTTCCCTGGCCGGGGAATCGCAGAGTACGCCCAGGCTGGGCCTCTCCGCTTGCACTGCAGTCAGATCTCACGCCCTTCTTGGGTCCGCCCCCCGAAACACCCACGTGTGTGGCTTTCATGGTGCCCTGTGCCCCTAAACCCACCCGAGGCACATTTTCACATGCTGTATCATGCTGCCATTCGCGCTTCTGTCATCCTCCATGCCTTCCCTCGCTTCTTAGTCCCCCAGCAGCTAGGATTAAAATCTTTGTGTAAGGCTTGAATCTTGCTGCGTCCATGACATGTGTCAGGACAGTGCCACATTTCAGTTCCAGGGCGAGTCGAACCTGCTGCTATCACCTGCCGGGATTTACAGACTCTGCTTTTGCAGGCCAACTGCAGATGAAGAATGTGAGACTGCCACTGCTTTCCGAGCACCTGTCGGGCTCATGACAGCATCCGGCCCGTTTCGGCAGACTTCCACTTGCAGTGTTGGGAGCAATTGCACACTAGAGCTGTCGGGCATCTATCTGCAGGAAGGTGATGCGATGATCGTGATTGAGGGTGCTTGTGAGAACTCTGCCGGAAACATAAACGATTTCATGTCGCTGAAGCAGCCCTTTTACTTCCAAAGAAGTGGAGAGGCACTGCAGGTGTCCATGGGAAAGCTGCCCAAATCAACAATCGCTGCAACTTACAGGCTCTGCTGGTGCCCGAGGCTTCATGGTTGCACATCTGCTTCGTCCTTCCGGGCAGCATCTGGCCAGCTACAGATTGACTGTCCAAAGGGACGTTTCTTTACAGCTGCACGATGTGCTGCATGTGGCCGCGGCTTCTATTGTCCCGGGGGTAGCCCAGGGTCCGCGACAAGATTTCCTTGCCCCGAGCATGAGACCACACTGCAGCGAAGTGCCTCCGCAGCTTCTGACTGCGCGTGCATGGCTGGCTACTTTCTGGATTCTGGAACTTGCAGTGCCTGTGCCAGAGGATTCTACAAAGCTGATGTGGGGAATGCTTTTGCCTGCATTGCCTGTCCTGAGAATCTGACAACTCTTCTCAGCGGTTCCGTGTCCAGTTCCTCGTGTATTTCTCCTCTTGCAGAGGAGGGAGGCTCCAGCGTAGTGGACTTGAATACAGCAGCCGGCCTCAGCAATGCTTCAGATGTAGCAACCATGACCTTCAATATATCTCTTGGCACAGACTGGATTGANNCGAGATCATTCTACCTTGGGCAGATGCAGCCGGGCGCAGGTTGTCAGATTTACCATCAGTTGTGGTCATGCTGAAGTTTACATCGGCGGCCGAGGCCAACCGCTCCGTACAGGAGACGGACGTGAGCGTGCTTGTGGGTGACATGAGCGATGCGGTCCGGCTTGCTGAGGACTTGTCCGACTTCACCATCGAAGTGACCTCAGTTCCCGAGGTGTCGTCGGTGACAATCATCTGCCCAGAGTTTTCAGCCAGGCCTCCTGGTGTCCCGATCGTGAGTGCAAGCGATTGCCTCTGCTTGCCGGGCTACGGCTTCGATGCACAGACTGGAACATGTGGACTGTGTCCCCCGGGTGAGTTTAAATCTGCACTGGCAGATACAGAATGCGACAAATGTGAGACACCGAAATCGACTGTTCAGCGTGGTGCCATTTCGGTGCATCAGTGCGTTTGCGGGGCTGGATTGTACGACCATGAGGGAGACTGCCGCAGTTGCGAGATCGGCTTTTTCTGCGACGGCTCGGGCATTGCACTTCCATGTCCAGCGAACTCAACTACGATCTCTGAAGGATCGCGGTCTATGTTAGAGTCTCTCTGTATAGCCGGACATGAGGCTGGCCTTGATGCAGGAATTTGTGAGCCGTGCCCATCGGGAAGGTACAAGCCGAGCGTGGGCAGCGGAGTCTGCTTCCTGACGTGCCCGGCGAATGCAGACAGCAGTCCAGGCTCCACGCAAGTGGATGATTGCTACTGTTTGCGCGGGCATGTGGCAGAGACGGACACGAAAGGCCAGTTATCTCGCTGTGCTTCCTGTGCTCTTTTCAGTGGCTTGGTGTGCTCCGGTGGTTTTGCTGTGGGCACGAGGAAGCACACCCAGCCGCGAGCCATCGCGGGCTGGTTCCAAACTGGCAGCACGCTGGCTGTCCAATGCCACGTTGTTTCTCCCAATGGAGAGAGCGCCTGTACTGGCGGCTCTTCGCAGTGCCAGCATGATCCAACTCTTGCAGGTTGCAGCAGACGCTTCGGAAACCAATGCGCCGTTGGATCTGCAGGTATGATGTGTGGGGAGTGTCCGGAGGGTTGGGGCAGAGGCACCCTCTTGGAATACTGCCAGCCCTGCCCTCCGGGCGAGGGTGCCTGGTTGCTCGCTGCTTCCGTCCTGGCAGACCTCACGCGAATCACCGGATTGAACTTCGTGCTTACTGTTCTCGCGGCGAAAGGTTCGGGAAGCTCCCTAAAGCTCCATACCTGCATGATACGCATGGTCCAGGCCTGGATTGGAGCATGCCAGATCTTGCTGGCCTTTAATCTGGATCGTTTGCAGCCCTTCCCGTGGTCTGAGGAAGAAGCGCAGGTGAACTGCGATGGGGAGTGCGGCGAAATTCTACGCTTTGCGTGGCCTCAAGCGATGTCCGATGCTATGCGTGGAGCGTTTTCTTTAATAGCAGTCATTCCTCGAGCGAGTGTCCCTTTCGCGGCTGAGTGCCAATCCGAGACCTGGTCGAGCGACAAGGACATAAAGCGGAGTGCGCCGGTATTGTACTACCTGTGCTTGCCGGTGCTGACTCTTCTCGGAACACTTTTCCTCTCAGCCCTTGTGGTATACGCCGTGCTGCCGCTGGGAAAGATGCTGGGGCTCCATTTCAATGATTCCCGGCCGCACAGGAGAACAGTGACTGCAGTGAGGACTCCTCGCCGAAGCCCAATGCAAAGCCTGCTTTACGGCGACAGCCGAGGAAGCCGACAGCAAGGAGGCCAAGAAGCAAGCAGCTCTAAAGGCAGTGCGAGGCCAGTTGAAGCTCATGCAGCAGGCAGGACAGAAGCGGTTTTTTGACACCGCTTTTTTCAGCCTTGCCGAGCTGCACCAGGACCTTGTCGAGAGCCCTCAGGGCGAGGGTACCGAGTCGGCCCCGGGTCGTGTACTGCAAGAGTTCCCGCAAAAAGTCTGGGACAAGGCGAATCTGAGTTTAGGGTGTGGGCTTCTGGGCTATCGGATATTGACTGACTGACGTCGGCAAGGTCGACTTGGACGAGGTCCCAGATGTCGTTCTCGCTGGAGGCATAGAAGACGATCGGCTTCGGGTAACTGCCGACCGCTTAGCATCCTTGCAGGGTGTGGTTCCACATCGTCCGTAGGCCTGTAACCGCCTGAGGCATCGGATGGCTTGATCTCCGAGAAAGACCTGCGCCGGCTGGCACCTGCCTCAATGGCTCATTGCGTTCGTGTGTGTGTGTGTGTGTAAATACATCTCAGCTTGCTTCTTTTAACTTTGTTTGTGTGTGTGTGTGTGTGTGGGTGTGGTTTTGCCTGCTTGTGTAAGCCACCCGTGCTCACGGGCGAGGAACCCTTCTCCTTTTGTGGTGTTTTGTGCCTCTTGAATTTTGCAGCCATCCTCCGGCTGCGCAGCGAACTGGACTCCAACACAGCTGATGCTGGGTCTGATCGGCATGCCTGCACATTCTCAGTGTCAACTTCCAAGCATTGCTTCAACGAGCAACCGAACTGCATCGGCAGAGCCGTGGTCAGCACGCGCGCGCCTTGACCTGCGTACCACGCAGCCAAACAACGAAAACATCCACACTACGGCCAATGTGAACAAGAGAGCTTCTCATGGCCCGTAGTTTGAAGGCTGTACTTGGTTAAAGCATTGTGGCTGCTTGCAAGCAGGGACGACTTCCCTACTCATGATGCCCTGTGTCTCTGGGGATGCACGATTGCCTCGGACGCAACATCCGCCACGATCGCCTTGGGTCATCCACACGGTCGGGCCAGCATTCTTGGCTTTGGCTGTTAGAGGTTCGTGTAGCCTGGAAGGAGAGGGTTTCACCTCCGAATTGAATGCTGGTGATACTCAGATGAACCGAGCTGTTCCTGAAAACTTTATTCAAGTGTTGAATCTTGGCGAAAGGATGAGAAAGGCGAGATACCCGCACATTGCTTGAAGCCGAAGGCCTCAGCGAATGCTTCGCCAAGCCGTGTGTTCGTTTTCTCATGTCCATCTGCTGGAGATCAGCCGCTCCTGCTATGCCGCGATGCCTTCGTTAAGACGGCCGACCCTACCGTAGCTGTACAAGTAGCTTCGTAGTGGATGGATTTTCTGTCTCTCCCAGGTCCTCGGTGCCCTCGCGTGGAAGATGCGAGGACGGACCCATCCTGTCGGGTGCGTTTTGTGTTGCTGGCCACAAAGTTTGGTGACCAGCTGTCATGCCTGCAATAGATGTCAGACTTGGCTAGGTCTTCAGCACAGACCTAACTTTCAGCGTCCTCAGTGGAGGAGAGCTTGAGGCAGAAGCTGAGCGCAGAGGCTTCCCAAAGGCTCGTGGGGTTCAGGGCTTTTGTTGTCTGAAACTTTGAGGGAAGAGGCAACATTGAGCACGTCAGAGATCCGTATATGTGTTCGTGCCTGCGGTTTGGGTTGCCGTGCTCCCTGCCAAAGTTCCAAGTTCCATAGGCAGTGTCTCCAGCCCACGCATGTGTAGTGTAGCAGTGTGGCAGGAATGGATTTGAAACCTCGGTCAACGACACACTCACACATGGAGGATTGTAATGGGAGAAGACAATCGGGAATGCACACCGCACGAATCCGTGCGTAATATGCACAGGCAAGCATCATGACAAAGTGGCCAGAGCCATAAGCAGCCTCGAACTGTTGCAAGGCCACGCGCCACAATATGAACATTGCGCTTGATATTATCCTTTCGCGTGCAAATGCGTGAACTACGGAGCTGGGCTGTTCGTCTTGACATGTCTTGAGATGCCTTAGATCTGTTTAGCACAGCCACTTCAAGCTCGTGACCTCGGCAGAAGGCAGACTTTGTCGTGGAGGTGTCCCGCGCCGCAAAGTCTGTCGGCGAGCTCGTCGACTTGCAAGGTGAATGCGGACGTTCGCTGCTGAAGCGCGCTTGCCGTCAAATGCGGCTCCGGGAGTCGGAGCTCGCGGCAGAGGTCCAAGGGAGCGCGGCAAGGCTGGACCTCGCGCTCTTCACATCCTGGCCTGCGCCGATGGCGCTGCTGAAGCAAAGCGTTCCGGTGGTTTGGCTGACACAGCTTGCCTTGTGGCCAGACCTGATGTCCCAGTTCTTGCAGATGGTTCGATGCATCTCGGTACGCGAAGATCGGGAGGGGCCGGTGGTGGTGCAGCGCCTGCATGCACATCCCGACGTGGAGTGCTGGCAGGAGGAGCACTGGACACTCTTCGCCATTGGCGTCAGTGGCCTGGTGCTATGGTGCTTCGGCATCCCGCTTGCCTTGTTCTTTCGAATTTGGGCCCTCACGGATCGGCAGGAGCCAGAGAACCGCCGCCTTTTCGGTTATTTCATTCAAGGCCTAGAGCCCAGGTTCTGGCGCCTTGGGCCTTTAAAGAGTTCTGAGATGCTGCATGAGCACTTTTTTTTGTGGAAAAGTCGCGCAGTAGGTGTCCAAAGGCCTGTCTCAAGGGCTTTAACAGCGACAGAGGGCGACAGAACCACCAAGGTATTGGGAGCTGGTGGTAAAGCGTCTTGACATCGGCCTCATGTTGCTGATCGCGTCCACATCCGTTACCACCGACGACAAGGCAAAGCTTTTGCTCTTTGCCTTAAACTCGGGCATACAACTAGCCGTAACGGCCTGGCTGAAGTCGTATGCCAACTCGCAAGCAGAAATTTTGGACTTCTTGGAATGCCTGCTGCTCGGTGCACGCTTTGTGCTCTTCACCACCGTTGCAGTGCTGCTGATCTTCTTCCCACCCGCAGAGAGCATCTGGGC